CTTATTTCCCTCATTAAAATGCAAATCAATTTATAACATTTTTGACATGTGTTTTTCTGGATTTTTGTTGTTGTTATTCTGTCTCTCACTGTTCAAATAAACCTACCATTTAAAATTATAGACTGATAATTTATTTCAGTGGGCAAACGTACAAAATCAGCAGGGGATCAAATACTTTTTTCCCTCACTGTTTATGCTACGATATGTCTATTGTTATTCAATTGCTGCTGCTGCTCTAGTATTCCCTGCTTGCTATTAATCACATTCACTGCATTCCTGCTATACCGCACCATGAGTGTACGTACTACATCATATGTAGTACTGATGTAGCAAGGTTACAATGAGGTCCAAATGTCCCTATATGGATTCAACCAAACCCCCACATGGTTCAAGCTCAGTGTATGAAAAAAAATATGTATGCACTCACTAACTGTAAGTCGCTCTGGATAAGAGTGTCTGCTAAATGACTAAAATGTAAAATGTAGCCAAATAGGAAAGAGTGGAGTGGACATGCCTAACCGGCGAGATACTTCAGCGTTTTTCCATCCAAGTGCTGAGCGGCACTCTATTTTACAGAGGGCAGATTCCCCTGTGCATATCTGAGTTCATGATCTAGAACACCTGCACTCTGAGACAGTGAACGTTATGGGTCCCAGTACACAGTCCTGATAGCAGCAGCTGGTTTGTAGCTAAAGGTGCTAATTTCCTGAGGTTGGGCAATTAGGCTGGAGTTGATGAATGTAAAGTCCATAGGAGTTGTGCATCTAAATTGCCAGCCAGGTCACTGATGGATTTGCCAAAGCATTTTGAAGGGATGTGCAGAAAATAGCAGTTGTGGGATAAAACCTTGTTAAATCAATGTAAATTCAGCTCTCATGCAAGAGGTGACACAAGTGGCCAGCTAATGGTGCCACTTCAAGCATTTGTCCTCTTGGACAGTAGTTCACTGCTCCATGTCATGTAAATGTGGTCCTCTGTAGCTCAATTGGTAGAGCATGGCGCTTGTAACGCCAGGGTAGTGGGTTCGATCCCCGGGACCACCAATACGTAAAAATGTATGCACACATGACTGTATGTCGCTTTGGATAAAAGCGTCTGCTAAATGGCATATTATTATTAAATGAATACAAAAATGTGTGTTAAGGATTATTCACAAGTTTCCTTTGGTCGCTCCAAACTGTATGACTTGTTTGGTCCTGAGAATGGATGATTCCCAGCTAATACAGAACTTTCCCGTAACGTTCCCTAAAGGTTATATTTGGGTTATTTGACAACTTTCCCACAACGTTCTGGGAAATATTTGTTGGCTAGGTAGACGATACAGTTGTAGTGGGCCTACACACTGATGCCAAGGTCAGATCCTGTTCATAAGGTCTATACTTATCGAGCCTTTACAAACCATTGTCTTGTGTATTTTCTCTACTGAATGTGACTGAGGTCACTGACGTTTACTCTTTATCAGAGATATATTATCGCAGAGTAGATAAAGCTGTAGTCTTCAGTACTTGACTCCCAATGTCTGTTTCCTCCTTTCAAATGCAAGGAGAGGTTTACTTCACTGACATTTGGACTCTGTTATATTTTCCTTTCCTCTGAAGGTCTTTTAAGAGATAAGGATGTATCTACCAGGCAGTATAATCTTTTTTTTCTTTCTTTTTTCTTTTTTCTTCCTTCTCCTGGTTCTTCCCAAGTTTAATTTACAGGCCTTTCTTGTTAGCTTGCTGTTTTATGATCGGTTTCCCTAACACCATAGTGCTGAACACATTGTCTCTGTGCCCCTAATCTTTATGTCTCTGTGCCGCATACCTAAGAGCCATGTGGCTTACAGCCAAATGAGATTTACTTACATTTTGTCGGCCAATATTTTCCTGCAGCCATTTCCAGCACTTGAGGCATTCAACATGGTTTCAATTACCGTCATGCAAATTACAAATTCATTTATACAATTCTAGCACATGCGGTACTACTCAGTAAAGCGTCATAAATAAAATACATGGATATTGGTCAATGGACCGCAAGGAGTGGACTTATTTGCAAAGGACAGACATTTAGCTACACCGATTGGATTCAGAGCGTTACTCAATGACTAACGCCAATGGTGGTATACGAAGCGTAGTATGCGACTGCATCCCTCTGCTGTATTGAAGTTGAAGCGCGCTCTCCCTGGCTTTGCCTTCTCATTAGAGAGAGCCAATGGATTTACTCAACAGCTGCTCCATTGTTTATGGCACTGGCACATTTCAACTCCTTTGTAAGTGTGCGACAATCAAACGGCATTGGGAATTTTGTAACCTAGCAAGTAATGGTTTTCCCTAAGTGTCTCCATCATCCAACAAGCAAGCAAACAAAAGTAGTTGTTTGTCCGGTTGCCAGCCTTATTCCTCTATTTCACCATGTGAGCCTTTTTATGTAGATCGGGCCCACAGGGCAAAACTGTTCAGATGAATGCTGCTGTACTGTGGCACACGATGACACTACACAATACTTTGACCCTGCCCTATTTCACACCTCACCAAGCACTGTTGATCCTGCTGTTTCCAAGCAAACATACTGTACGTTGGGGGACTAGCTCAGTCTTTGGCAGGCCCCATGGCCTTTTCTGTGTGACATTAAAATGTAATATGCTAACCACTGACTGAATGTGTTACTGATTAACTGTGTCATTGTGTGAAGGGACCATGTTCTGGAGTGACTCATTGTTTTAGATTGCTCAAGCAATGCACTGAATATGCATTCAATTGATTTCATAAAATTTGCCTAAGAAGGGATCTGGACTCTGAACCTTTCACCAAACACCCTCCATACATTTAAACAGGGACTGCTTGTTGTACTAATAGCTTCAGTATAGTGTTTGTGTGAATGCATCCGAGCGTGTGTTCTGGATAATTAAAGGCCTGTTGTAAGGGAGCATGAGGGAGTCTCGTATGGATGGCCATTTATGCCTGGACCCTAGTCTTTGTCCCTCCTGCACCGTGACACAGCCACATCATCCACAATACACCTCTGTTTTCTCAGGTGCGGTCAGACCCCACGGCAGTGACCCCTAAGTTTACCGGGACTGCCTGTGACCGGGAGGGCAGTCAGAGGCTGGAAATTAGGCATTCCACACTGAAACACTCGTCTCGGCTATTAGTTTTTCATGGACCATGAATTTATGTGCTTTTCCTCTTAAAGCAAAGCACTGCTCAGTGTGCCGGCCTGCTCTCCTGCTGCGGAAGCGCTTGTTCTCCATAGATATTGTGAAGTGCTATAAATCAAACTCGGTCCTGTGTCACCCCCCCACAACACATTTCAGTTTTTGCCCTAGCACTACACAGCTGATTCAAATCAGCTGTGTAGTGCTAGGGCAAAAACCAAAACGTGCACCAAGGTGGGGCCCCAGGACTGAGTTTGGGGAATCCTGCTTTAGATCATCTGCAGGTCATTTTAAATGTTCATTTGAGCTGCCAGTGTTTCAATATTGATGCACAACAAAATGTTACTATTTCCAGGGTAAGCGATTTAATTTGCGTAATTTAAGACATTAACATTGTTTTCAGTCCATGTTCTCAAATTATTAAACTGTCGGCTGCCATTTATTTATAATGGGCTGTGTCCAAATGTTATTTTAAGACAATTGTGTTCCAACCATTGGCCCAAATGATAATCTATCCTAATGTAACTTGCAGACAGCATTCAGAGTAATGGGCCATATTATGAGATCAAGTTGCGATTTGCTCTGTTATGAAGTGAGAGCTGTGAAAGCACAACACTTAAAGAAATTGATTACAGGAAAGTGACACGTCTGGAGCGCCATTAGTTCTATGACGACCCACTAAACCTCTTCACTCTGATTGGTTATGGTTCGGTCCAACAAAGTTTACATGTCACACGGGAGGTAAAATATTGCATTCATCCATGCGTGTTATAGAGAAAGCATGTTGATGGCCACCCCTCTTTTATACTGAGTATATCATGTACAATTATAATTAATAAGCTTTGTTTAACTGATTGAACAACTTTTCTTTTTTAAACAAGTAATATTTTTCATTTCACTTACATTTCCATTACATGAAATCCAAATAAAAATCCATTTAAATTATAGGAAAAACGCGAAGGGGGATGAATACTTTTGCAAGGCACTGTTTATCTAGAGTGAGGGATCATAGAGGAACATGCACTGTATCTGCACTGATCACAGGGTTGGTTAATGCTGGAGACCCCACGTGTATCCACAGAGTTGGGTAAATCTGCCTTTTCCTACCAGGCCCCTATCATGTGGAATAATCTCCAAGGAATGTTTCATTTGGGTGTGTAGTCTCAGGGTCAGTTTAGGAGAAAGGCTAGGGATTTTTACATTGATAAATGTGTTTTATTTTGTTTGATTTGTTTGTGTATATAATATTTGCTATTTTATTTAATTTTGTGTTTTAAATTGTGTATACATCTTATTTTCTGTATTGTTCCCATGGCACATTTACAAATGAGATCTAGGTCTCTGTGTTTTTCCCTGGTTAAATAAATAAATCTGTGTTAGACAGGTCTTATTTGAGGGCCGTGTGTTTTCTGATGGACAGCACTCATGGGCTGGGTGCGTCTCAAATTACACCCTATTCCCTATACAGTGCACCACTTTTGACCAGAGCCCTATGGGTCCTAGTAGCAGGGAATTGGGTGGACACCTGTTGACGTCCTGTAGATTTGGGTGGTATGATGACAATTTTATTTTATGTAGGGCTTAAAAATAGTGAGGCACATTTTGTCTTCCACTGTTGAATTTCATTGTTTTAGAACCTGCTTGTCATATCATGGTGGCTATCAATGCTTTGACACTATTTTCACACACTTTAAGTGGCTGCTTGCTCATTTTGCTGTGTCACTCACTGCTGCTAGCATTAGGATATGTAAACCTATAGTCCTAGCATTACAGTGTGAATAGACTGACAATATTATTGTATTTTGGTTGGGTGTGGCACGTCCACCCTAATATGTTCTCTTTGTCTATCTTTGTTTGGTGGTTAGGTAACACCGGGCAGTAAGGCAGCACAGGGGGACCTGTGTCCTGGAGACACTATCCTGGCCATCAATGGGGACAGCACAGAGACCATGACACACATGGAGGCCCAGAACAGGATCAAGGCCTGCATGGGGGAGCTCACACTGGCCATCAGCAGGTACGTCTACATGGCACTGTCTGAGTCCCAAATGGCACCCTACCCTACCACCTACATAGCTCTGGTCAAAAGTGGTGCATTATATAGGGAATAGGGTGCTATTTGGTAACGCAGCCTTCAGACACTATACTGACCTCAAAACGATCGTCTCCTAAAGTTGTTTTTTAGAGGGTTAACCAGACAGCATTGACAAGGTCTTAATTGGAATGAATGAATAAATTAATGATACAGTACATTAGATTTAATTGTCCGATGCAGCCATATATTGCTCTTTTCAGTCACATGGAAGCCAGTCAAAGTGATCAATTCTCTACCCCCCACAGAGCACTCTTGCATCACATTCATTAAGGCGTACACATTGTGGCACAGCATGGCCTCTGAAATGGACCATTGGATTGATATTGTATATTCATCCTATCATGATGGGTGAAACGTGTCTTTCCACTGCTTACACCGATGTATACTTCTTAGTTCAGGACCATTTGGGATGAGTCATTTGGTGTTGGGAAGGACAGGAGCAACATGTTGTAATGCAATATAGTTATCTAATCTCTAATCCAAAGAAAATCGTCAGGCTAAACAGCCATTTGGAACGGAAAACTCAGTAATGGGGATAAAGCAGAGTGGAAGATTATATAACCCAATGGCGGGTTTGAAATTCTCAGATGTGAAGAGTAGCTGGCTACTGCGGTTTGGGATGACAACAGATCCAGGATGAAAATGTCCTCCTCCTGAGTAGTAAAGTGAAGCGTAGGCCCAGAATTGTACTACGCTTCAGCCTGGAGAATGCAATGGAAAGGAGAATCAGCCTAAATTCCACATCCATGGGTAACCTGATCCATCAAATGAGCAGAAGTCATGGAGTTGTTTGAGCTCAATGTTTTATCCTGTCAGAAGAAACTTTCCACTTTCGTGTGTAGAATGTGCTTTCCCCGAAACGCTCCGGCCTCTGAGAACCGGTCCATTTATCATACTGAGCGTTAAGCGCTATATCCACATAGGAGTAGTAAATGTACAGTTGAAGTCGGAAGTTTACATACGCTTAGGTTGGAGTCATTAACTTGTTTTTCAACCACTCCACAAATTTATTTTTAACAAACTATAGTTTTGGCAATGACACAAGTCATTTCTCCAATAATTGTTTACAGACAGATTATTTCACTTATAATTCACTGTATCACAATCCCAGTGGGTCAGAAGTTTACATACACTAAGTTGACTGTGCCTTTAAACAGATTGGAAAATTCCAGAAAATTATGTCATGGCTTTAGAAGCTTCTGATAGGCTAATTGACATCATTTGAGTCAATTGGAGGTGTACCTGTGGATGTATTTCAAGGCCTACCTTCAAACTCAGTGCCTCTGCTTGACACCTTGGGAAAATCAAAAGAAATCAGCCAAGACCTCAGGAAAAAAAATTGTAGACCTCCACAAGTCTGGTTCATCCTTGGGCGCAATTTCCAAACGCCTGAAGGTACCACGTTCATCTGTACAAACAATAGTATGCAAGTATAAACACCATGGGACCACACAGCCATCATACCGCTCAGGAAGGAGACGCGTTCTGTCTCCTAGAGATTAACGTACTTTGGTGTGAAAAGTGCAAATCAATCCCAGAACAACAGCAAAGGACCTTGTGAAGATGCTGGAGGAAACGGGTACAAAAGTATCTATATCTACAGTAAAACGAGTCCTATATCGACATAACCTGAATGGCCGCTCAGCAAGGAAGAAGCCACTGCTCCATAACTGCCATACAAAAGCCAGACTATGGTTTGCAACTGTACATGGGGTCAAGGATCATACTTTTTGGAGAAATGTCCTCTGGTCTGATGAAACAAAAATATAACTGTTTGGCCATAATGACCATCGTTATGTTTGGAGGAAAAAGGGGGTAGCTTGCAAGCCGAAGAACACCATCCCAACCGTGAAGAACGGTGGTGGCAGCATCATGCTGTGGGGTGCTTTGCTGCAGGAGGGACTGGTGCATTTCACAAAATAGATGGCATCATGAGGAAGGAAAATTGTGGATATATTGAAGCAACATCTCAAGATATCAGTCAGGAAGTTAAAGCTTGGTCGCAAATGGGTCTTCCAAATGGGCAATGACCCCAAGCGTACTTCCAATGTTGTGATAAAATGGCTTAAGGACAGCAAAGTCAAGGTATTAGACTGGCCATCACAAAGCCCTGACCTCAATCCTATAGAACATTTGTGGGCAGAACTGAAAAAGCGTGTGCGAGCGACTTACAAATTGGTGAATTCACCTTATTATAGCCAGTGGGACAACCACTTTACAATTATTATTTTTCAATAAAAAAAATTGAGTATTTTTAATCGTCATTTTTTAAAATTTTATATATATATTTTTCTGAGGGGGGGAGAAGGATTACTTTTATACTATCCAGGTATTCCTTGAAGAGGTAGGGTTTCAAGTGTCACCGGAAGGTGGTCAGTGACTCCGCTGTCCTGGTGTCGTGAGGGAGCTTGTTCCACCATTGGGGTGCCAGAGCAGCGAACAGTTTTGACTGGGCTGAGCGGGAACTGTGCTTCTGCAGAGGTAGGGGGACCAGCAGGCCAGAGGTGGAAGAACGCAATGCCCTCGTTTGGGTGTATGGAATGATCAGAGCCTGAAGGTAAGGAGGTGCCGTTCCCCTCACAGCTCCGTAGGCAAGCACCATGGTCTTGTAGCAGATGCGAGCTTCAACTGGAAGCCAGTGGAGTGTGCGGAGGAGCGGGGTGACGTGAGAGAACTTGGGAAGGTTGAACACCAGACAGGCTGCAGCGTTCTGGATGAGTTGTAGGGGTTTAATAGCACAGGCAGGGATATGGGCCAAAATTCACCCAACTTATGTGGGAAGCTTGTGGAAGGCTACCTGACACGTTTGACCCAAGTTAAACAATTTAAAGGCAATGCTACTAAATACTAATTGAGGGTATGTAAACTTCTGACCCACTGGGAAGGTGATGAAAGAAATAAAAGCTGAAATAAATCATTCTCTCTACTATTATTCTGACATTTCACATTAAAATAAAGTGGTGATCCTAACTGACCTAAGACAGGGAATTTCTACTAGGATTAAATGTCAGGAATTGTGAAAAACTGTGTTTAAATGTATTTGGCTAAGGTGTATGTAAACTTCCGACTTTATCTGTATTTAAGGATAATCAAGGTTGAGTTCATTGCGATCTCAAGTGGGAACTGAAAGGCCCACAGCTGTAGGAAAGCTCACCTTGTAGCTTTCTATGTCGAGTACACATTAAAAGCGTGAAAGTACCTTTTTTGGGGATATTTAATCAAAAGCAATATCAATCAAACATATATATTTATTTTATTAGCCTCTACTCCATAAAATGCATGCTCTTTTCAATTAGTCAGGAGCATGAGCAAATTATTTGGGGAAACCATAACTGGATGTTAGAGATGAAATGCTAACCAACCACTCCTGCAGGACAAAATAAGTGAATGCTGTTTCACATTCATCCATCTTTTCTATTCTCCACGGCTTAATGAGAACATTCAAAAGGCAGGTCACATGACCGTATGGTGAACACAGCAGCACAACGCCCCGGTATCTACTGGTATGTGACCTTTTTCACTACACCATTGAGTAATTTATGTTGGCCTGGGCTGCTGACTCCATGGATGGTGTGTTGTACCGATAACTATGCACCCTTTGCCCCAGGTGAAATGAGCTGCTAGCATACATGTGCAGTGCGTTTCAGTGAGCGGTACGGAACTGGTGGAATTGTGGAGGCGGGGACAATCCACGTGGGCATAAGAATTGTTATTTTACTGCACAGATTTTTGTTGTGTGTATGACTGGAAATTCAATTACATAGACTGCATGCATAGTGTAGTTGAGCATTTAGATTTCTCTCTTATACGCAGAGGATATAGGGCACTTCAAGTCCCTCACTTTATGTCATGCGTTTTACATATTTTACCTGCATTTAAAGGTACATTCCTTTCACACTTACAGTAAGCACAAGGGAGGGGATATTTTGGAGGGCTTATTATGGATAATGCTCACTTTATTGATTTCTTAACAACAGGAATTCTGTGTTGTATGACAAAATCAAATGTATTTGTCATATGCGCCGAATACAACAGCTGTAGGCATTACTGTGAAATGCTTACTTACTGTATGAGCCCTTTCCCAACAATGCAGAGTTTAAAAGTAAGACAAATGTGCTAAATGAAAAGGAAATGGTAACAATGTAAAATGGCAATAATGAGACTATATACAAGTTCTTAAAATCACCATTGGCCTCATGGTGAAATCCCTGAGCGGTTTCCTTCCTCTCCGGCAACTGAGTTAGGAATGGTGCCTGTATCTTTGTAGTGACTGGGTGTATTGATACACCATCAAAAGTGTAATTAATAACTTGGATATTCAATGTCTATTTATTTTAAAAACTGTTACCCATGTACCAATAGGTGCCCTTTGCAAGGCATTGGGGAAACCTCCCTGGTCTTTATAGTTGAATCTGTTTGAAATTCACTGCTCGACTGCAGTACCATACAATTATCTGTATGTGTGGGGTACAGAGATGAGGTAGTCATTCAAAAATCATGTTAAATAATATTATTGCACAGTGAGTCCATGCAACTTATGTGACTTAAACATAGTTTTACTCCTGAACTTATTTAGGCTTGCCATAACAAAGGGGTTAAATACTTATTGACTCCAGACTTTTCAGCATTTAATTTTGTATTAATTTGTAAAAATTGTAGGAAAACATAATTCCACTAACATTGTGTGTGGGGGTGGGCGGGCTGGCCGGGCCAGTGGGGGGGGGGAAAAAAAGAAAAAACCAAACACAGGCTGTAACACAACACAATGTGGAGAAAGTCAAAGGGTGTGTAGACCCTTTCTGAAGGCATGTTGGGGTGAAAGTGACTAGTCAATCACAATGGATAATAAACAGAGTAGCAGCAGCGTATGTGAAGATTGTGTGTGTGGTGTGGGTAGAGTCCAGTGAGTGTGCATAGTCAATGGAAAGATTTTTAAACAAAAGAAATAACTACATACCATTTACAAAAAAAGGCCTCAATGCAAATTGTTTGGGTAGCCATTTGATTAACTGTTCAGCAGTCTTATGGCTTGGGGGTAGAAGTTTAAGGAGCCTTTTTGGTCCCATACTTGGTGCTCTGGTACTGCTTACCATGTGGTAGTAGAGAGAACAGTCTATGACTTAAGTTATGTTTCCTGGGGAGACGGAAGTATTGAACTTGTGCAACCAAAATGTAAGATGTATTTTTGTTTGGAATGACCAGAAGAGGCGGAGGCCAAGTTGGCTTACCCAGAAAATAATATTTTTGAGAACAACAGACCAAGCCCTCATTAAAAGACTGCTATAAAGGACTCAACTGTCAGGCTGGAGAAGCCTGTAATTTTCTGGTGCTGCTGTTGGATAAAAATATGAGCGTACACTTCTGCTTGTGAACCAAAATGACATTGGTTGCAGCGAAGCTTGAGGCACTTAAGTACAAGAATGTCTTAGTTATGCCTCTGAATTCATTACTTTCATGACCTTTTCATTTTTTTATTAGAAAGACACTGCCTCTGAATCAAGAAATGGTGTTATTAATATATTTGTCACTCAGCAGTTGGAAGGAAAGCGAAACGAAGCAACAGGCCAGGGTCCGGTTTCCCAAAAGCATCTTAAGGATAAATTCATCGTTGGAACCGTCATAGGAGCGTCGTTAAATCTCTGAGCTGTTTCCAAAAACCACCGTTATTAATGTTGCACTTAAACGCTCGTAATCTAGTGCCTGCCTCAGACCACTCGTAGAACAGCGAAGTGCGTCGTTGGATGTTTTTTATTATTTAAATCTCAGTTAAACAGAATCGCATGGTGTATCTGTCTATGACGTCGATGACTCCAGAACAAAGTTGACTACAAAGTTGCCAATGTCTTTGCAATTGATACAAAAAAGCAACGTAAACGGTAAGCTATAGGCCTATTTCAATCATTATTGAAATACATTTAATGGGTGAGCATTAGAATAAGCTACCTCAATATTTGCAGCCGTAGGTGGTAATATCTCTCTCTAGGAGCTGATCCGTCAGTATTGTGAAAGTTCTAATGTGAAGGAAAGATTTGAATGGACAAAGCTGCACTCCCTTTCTTTCGATCCTATCAGTATCGACACATGCTCCAACAACGCACTTAGCGACCATTCTTTCTGCGTAGTGTTTTGGGAAACGCATGTTACATCTTCGGCCGTTTTGTAGGAAAGATGCGTTGTTAAAACACCCTAAGTTCCATCCTGAAACCGAGCCCAGCTTTAGTAGCGCTTGACAGAGTCACCACTTCAACCCATCGAACCTCGCTGCTCCATTTCCAGCCCCTGATATGCTCTCTCAATACTGTGCTGTGAGGTAAAATGGCTCTGCTAGTTCGGCATTTCTGGCAGCCTGATCAAAAGGTGTCTCTCGCAGCGAGACTAGCCGTTACTAAACAGGCCCTGCTCCAAGTTCACTGTGGTGTCAGCACCGGGCGGACAGAAACCTGGCAGGTCAGGGCGGTATTGAAACATGTCATGTCTCCCTTAGCTGGACTGTATATCTTCAGCCTATTGAGCCTCCATGAAGACACGGACCAGCTGTGGCAAATCTCACCTCCCAACCCCCGAAGTCATAGACCTGAGGGGGGAGAGAGACTGGGAGGGGAGCGGGAGACCGAGAGGGGTACGGAGATGGAGAGAGGGTGAGAGCGAAACAAAAAGTAAGCGGGAGAGGAAGTTATGCCGCCGCTGTCTGACTGCCTGGACAATGAGTCAGAGCTGTGGAATTATGAATGGTACAGGGATTTGAAGCGCAGTACTCCTGCTGGGGGGAAGAGGTACAGAGAACAGCCAAAGAGAGGGGAAAAGCCCTCCCCGGTCATCCCAGGGCACTTCTGTTGCAGTCGTAAATGCCACATCAAGTGAGCCGGTGGAGTCAGGAGGGGAGACTACAGCCCTGCTGCTGCCATTTTTATTTGTCATCTCCCAGTCCAGGAATCTACTAAGTGTCCCCCAGGTCTGGTGAGAAGACTCCATATGTGTGGTTTTAACCACTGTCTCCAAGATCAGAGGCTACATTTGATCTCGTTACATGTTACACTGATTACGAAGTAGCAGCGTGATGGTTTTGATTTAGAACGGGGTAATATCAAAAGAGTGGTTTCATTGGGATCAAGAGGAGTCCAGATGCATTTGATAACAACAGGAAGGCCTCGATCTGAACTGGAGGTAATGCTATTGATCAGCATATTGTTCTGAGGGTAGCTTCTCCCCTCTAGTCAATGCGGCATGGAATCTCCTCACTGCCAAAATAAACCATCCACATACACCGCCTCAAAACCATATCAGGAAATGTAAACCGGCAGAGCAGGTCAGAGGGAAATCTGACCAAAGGGAAAGTTTGTTGAAAGTCAGAATGATAACCTGAGACTGGGCCATTTCATTTCAGAGACTTCTATCGCCTTTGTATACACATTTATGAGCAAGGGGATATGGGGAAGGATTTTGCATTTGACCTGGAATCAAATCGGGCTCAGACCCTATACAGTTGGTTGCGAATCTGAAATGGAATCAGGCTCTGAAGATCTTCCCTATACAGTACATGTCACCAGTTGTCTCCCTGTTGGATCATTGGCACTGGAAGCCAGTGAGGAGAGCGTAGATGGCTGTCGGTTGTCGGAGCTGTGCACTAATCTCCACTAATCCCCCACACACTGATTCAATATCGGAGCTAAACTGGATCACGGAAAACGATATGCTCCATTGTCCTATTGGTGTGTATCGCAATGTCTGCTGCCTACTCCATCGGCCTCCTTCTCTGCCTCTCTGTTTCCACTCGTACGTCTTATGTCCTCCTCGCTGCTTTCTGACCATGTTCTATGGTTCTTTGTATTTAAGCGAATGGAATTTAATTTGCCACTAATTGACTTGCTCAATAGAGCATTCATATGTATCCAAGGAAACAAACATCCTGTGATATATAAAGTCTTGATATAAGTAGTGGGAGGGTCGGATCATCCCACGCAGTCTGCAGCTCATCCATCAAACACTTGCCCATAAAGCAGTCTTGATACGAACACCTCTGCTCATTTTTGAGGCATTGCCTCATCCGGCCGCAGCAATTCCAGCTGAATCCAGAGTGACCTCATCCTCCAGTCGTGAAGTTTACACCAGTGGAGAACTCAGAGGCATCATTGTTTTCTCCTGCCCCAGAGTCCTGCCTGCGTCTACGTACGTAGGTGTGAATGAATGACTGACTTACTGACTGACCAGGGGAAGGGACTGAGTGGAGGGAAAATCGTCTTTGTTCCTCTACATACACACACTGCCCTCTGCTCCCTCGCTGGGGCCGGTGTGATGACATGGCATTGGCCTTTTGGTGGCTGCCCACATAACAGCAAATAGTCAAACAACGGGACCCCTGACATGTTTGGAAAACGGTTCAGGAATTCCAAAAAGCATTACTCACTCCTCCCTCAAGTCTTTTACTACCCCCTCAACAGTGTGCCATTAAACGCTATATAATACCATGCCAATTGGATTACACATTTTTATTACCATATGGTTTTATGGGAAGTTCTAAATCTTGCTGAAGCAATTCTCTGTCTGGGACGTGTAGCACAGGGCATGTAGACTAGCCTATTGTTTTAACATAGGACAAAAGTACAATACCGTATAAGAACAGCAACAGATTCTATATTTAGTACATAAATGGGCCTAGCCATGATAGGAAAAAATCTCTTTGATGAATGAAGGACAATGTGGTTTATTGTCGTCGGACACAGCGAGCAGACAATCCTTATTTGACCCCTTGCCATCCTATTGTTTCTGTTCACCTGGATGGCTGTCTTAACATGTTGAGCTAATCTAATAACAAGATGTACTGTGAGATTAGGCTACCTGTGCCTGAGGCTTGGCCAGGTCGCAGTTGTAAATGAGAACTTGTTCTCAACTGGCTTACCTGGTTAAATAAAGGTAAAATAAAATCGTGTTAGAAAAAAATACTGCATACAGCCATCACTGTCTATGAAGGCAAGGTGAAGATTGGTGTGCACAGATATTAAGTGTCTCTCTAGGCCTGGTTCAGTCCGATAGTACTGTAGGTAATCACCAACTATTTAAAAAACACTTTTTTGTCATTTAGCAGATGCTGTTATCCAGAGCGACTTACAGGATCTTAAAATGATTTATTATTACTACTATATTGAGTGGTACTGAAGTTAATAAAACAGGAATCATTGTGTGTTTTGTTAAGGGTTGGGAGTTCATGCCATAGTTCTGCTGATCTGCAGTAGTGATGACTATCATTAAAGTGTACTGGAATGTGGTCATCTTCAGCTGCCAGTGTTATGCCTGCCAAACAAAAACGCATGACATTGCTACTGTGTAAAATGAAGACGTTAAGCTTATTTTGGCGCGCAGTGAACAATTTCATCACATGGAGTACGCCGCTAATATTCTGCAGTGGTTAGTGGTATTTAATATGAAAGTTCAAGTAATGTTTTTTTTGCTAACTTAACTGTGTTCTGGTGTATGTGACTTGAATTTCGTCCCTTTTTAATTCCACACTAACATGTCAAGCATATAATGTCATTTTTAAGAGCATCTTCTTAGTGACTGCTGTGAGCAAATAACCTGTGAACACATTGATAGGAGCAGATATAACCTCTTTAAAAGCCCCTGAGCGTTTTATAGATAGATAAACAATGACTAATGTAGCGCTCTCTTCCCTGGGTATTGTCTTTCAGGTCTGAAGACAAAGTCTTGTCTCCAACTGTTATTGAAGATGGCAAGACAAGTCCATTCATGGCTACATTGGAGTCTGAGTCCACACAGGTATGAGCTGCACTTGTTTACATGCAAATATGAGTCATGGATAAGATTATATAGATTATCTACTGATAAACTGCTGTTTCTCACATGATTAAAAAGAGAGCAAGTGTTCCTCTGTCAGTTGGAAAGTATTGAAATAGGGCCTCAATTGTTCTGAAACTAATTCTGACATGCGTACTCATGCAAGCCAAGCCCTTGCCGTTGAACTTTGCAGAGTTTTCCGATACTGACCAGAGAGTGTGTGACGCAAAGTGTAAGCAGAACGAGCAGACAATGCGTGTATTGTGGCTGGGACATCTGAGAAATGACCATTCCTCTTTTATTGTGGCCGTTGGTTGTCATGTTGGGCGTTTTCCCATGTCCCAGTTGTTTCAGTGGGGCGATCGCTGTCAACTGGGCTAAATGGTCACACAAAGGCCTGAAATGAAATGCGTCGGTCATCTCATCAATTGAAGGTTGACACTATACACAGCAGACCGATACATATATTGAGGTCCACTTCAGTAGGCAGGCTGGTGGACATTTTGAATGAAAGAGATGTATGAAATGAAATAATTTACTTGCTCTGTATTGTAGCTATCACTGGAGGTGAATGGGACAGGGATGTTTTTGTCTATGTAGCTGAGCCTGAGTTTACATTAGTCTTTTTTTCTGGGGGGTTTGTCTTCAGAAATTCTGACATTTTATTGATTTAATACATGTCATCCATTACTAAGTCAAAGCCACTGATCCTAACTCTAAATATTTAAAATGGTCTTGGGGTACATGGTTGATATACTATTTTTGTAAGCATGGTAGTAATAACATATACATCTGCCTAGTGATAAAGGAGGTGAAAGACCTCCCTATTCCAGCCTTCAGGCAATCCAAGGAGACGGGCAGATTTCCTGAGAAGGGGTCCTGGGGATTAGGACCTTTTTTGTATTTCACCATCTCAACACGAGCTGAAGTCTTGTCTTGATTAATGCGAGGAAATACCAGACCTGAACTAGGGGGAACGATCAAAAAACTCTGTATATAAACAGAGTCATGCATGCTAGCAGTACCTCTGTGTGTTTGTAATCAAAGAAGGCTGCTCTCTCTATCTCCTGGAAAAGTTAGAGGTTTGGAAACCTTGTATCCACTCTCTACTGAAAGACTGCCGTCTCCTTTTAATAGAGTTAAGGTTGAGTTGGAAACGGCAAAGTGAGTACCATTTGGCTGCATTTGCTTCAGGTGGAGGGAAATGGTTGGTTTGTCACTTGCGTTAGGCTAAATGAATGACCCTGGTCATTTCCTGCTACAGGCTAGTATAATGTAATATACCTTAAAAGCGGTTACCAGCATCGAACAATGCTGATTGTTCTCCAGACACATCAAATCAAATTTTATTTGTCACATGCGCCGAATACAACAGGTGTAGACCTTACCGTGAAATGCTTACTTAGAAGCCCTTAACCAACAATGCAGTTCAAGAGATGGAGTTAAGAAAATATTTTAAATAAACACAAGAAAATTGCATAACAATAACGAGGCTATATACAGGGGGTACCGGTACCGAGTCAATGTGCGGGGGTTCAGGTTAGTCGAGGTCATTTCTAAAGTGACTGTGTAGATAAACAGTGAGAATAAGCAGTATAAATACAAAGGGGCGGGTCAATGTAAATAGTCCGGGTGGCCATTTTGATTAATTGTTCAGCAGTCTTATGGCTTGGGGGTAGAAGCTGTTAAGGAGCCTTTTGGTCCTAGACTTGTTGCTCCGGTAACAAATCAAATCAAATTTTATTAGCCAGATGCGCCGGATACAACAGGTGCAGACATTACAGTGAAATGCTTACTTACAGCCCTTAACCAACAGTGCATTTATTTTTAATAAAAAAGTAGAATAAAACAACAAAGTGTTGAGGAAAAAAAGAGCAGAAGTAAAATTAAAATAATAGTAGGGAGGCTATATATATATATATATATATATATATATATATATATATATATATATATATATATATACACACACACACAGTGGGGAAAAAATGTATTTAGTCAGCCACCAATTGTGCAAGTTCTCCCACTTAAAAAGATGAGAGAGGCCTGTCATTTTCATCATAGGTACACGTCAACTATGACGGACAAAATGAGGAGAAAAAAATCCAGAAAATCACATTGTAGGATTTTTTATCAATTTATTTGCAAATTATGATGGAAAATAAGTATTTGGTCACCTACAAACAAGCAAGATTTCTGGCTCTCACAGACCTGTAACTTCTTCTTTAAGAGGCTCCTCTGTCCTCCACTCGTTACCTGTATTAATGGCACCTGTTTGAACTTGTTATCAGTATAAAAGACACCTGTCCACAACCTCAAACAGTCACCCTCCAAACTCCACTATGGCCAAGACCAAAGAGCTGTCAAAGGACACCAGAAACAAAATTGTAGACCTGCACCAGGCTGGGAAGACTGAATCTGCAATAGGTAAGCAGCTTGGTTTGAAGAAATCAACTGTGGGAGCAATTATTAGGAAATGGAAGACATACAAGACCACTGATAATCTCCCTCGATCTGGGGCTCCACGCAAGATCTCACCCCGTGGGGTCAAAATGATCACAAGAACGGTGAGCAAAAATCCAAGAACCACACGGGGGGTACCTAGTGAATGACCTGCAGAGAGCTGGGACCAAAGTAACAAAGCCTACCATCAGTAACACACTACGCCGCCAGGGACTCAAATCCTGCAGTGCGAGATGTGTCCCCCTGCTTAAGCCAGTACATGTCCAGGCCCGTCTGAAGTTTGCTAGAGTGCATTTGAATGATCCAGAAGAGGATTGGGAGAATGTCATATGGTCAGATGAAACCAAAATATAACTTTTTGGTAAAAACTCAACTCGTCGTGTTTGGAGGACAAATAATGCTGAGTTGCATCCAAAGAACACCATACCTACTGTGAAGCATGGGGGTGGAAACATCATGCTTTGGGGCTGTTTTTCTGCAAAGGGACCAGGACGACTGATCCGTGTAAAGGAAATAATGAATGGAGCCATGTATCAAGAGATTTTGAGTGAAAACCTCCTTCCATCAGCAAGGGCATTGAAGATGAAATGTGGCTGGGTCTTTCAGCATGACAATGATCCCAAACACACCGCCCGGGCAACGAAGGAGTGGCTTCGTAAGAATCATTTCAAGGTCCTGGAGTGGCGTAGCCAGTCTCCAGATCTCAACCCCATAGAACATCTTTGGAGGGAGTTGAAAGTCCGTGTTGCCCAGCGACAGCCCCAAAACATCACTGCTCTAGAGGAGATCTGCATGGAGGAATGGGCCAAAAAACCAGCAACAGTGTGTGAAAACCTTGTGAAGACTTACAGAAAACGTTTGACCTGTGTCATTGCCAACAAAGGGTATATAACAAAGTATTGAGAAACTTTTGTTATTGACCAAATACTTATTTTCCACCATAATTTGCAAATAAATTCATTAAAAATCCTACAATGTGATTTTCTGGATTTTTTTTCCTCATTTTGTCTGTCATAGTTGACGTGTACCTATGATGAAAATGACAGGCCTCTCATCTTTTTAAGTGGGAGAACTTGCACAATTGGTGGCGGACTAAATACATTTTTCCCCCACTGTACAGTGGGGTACCGGTGCGGGGGCACCTGCTAGTTGAGGTAGTTGAAGTAATATGTACATGTGGGTAGAGTTAAAGTGACTATGCATAAATAATTAACAGAGTAGCAGCAGCGTAAAAAGATGGGGTGGGGGAGCAGTGCAAATAGTCCGGGTAGCCATGATTAGCTGTTCAGGAGTCTTATGGCTTGGGGGTAGAAGCTGTTGAGAAGTCTTTTGGACCTAGACTTGGCACTCTGGTACCGCTTGCCGTGCGGTAGCAGAGAGAACAGTCTATGACTAGGGTGGCTGGAGTCTTTGACAATTGAGGGCCTTCCTCTGACACCACCTGGTATAGAGGTCCTGGATGGCAGGAAGCTTGGCCCCAGTGATGTACTGGGCCGTACGCACTACCCTCTGTAGTGCCTTGCGGTCGGAGGCCAAGCAGTTGCCATACCAGGCAGTGATGCAACCAGTCAGGATGCTCTCGATGGTGCAGCTGTAGAATTTCTTTGAGGATCTGAGGACCCATGCCAAATCTTTTCAGTCTCCTGAGGGGGAATAGGCTTTGTCGTGCCCTCTTCACAACTGTCTTGGTGTGTTTGGACCATGATAGTTCATTGGTGATGTGGACACCAAGGAACTTGAAGCTCTCAACCTGTTCCACTACAGCCCCGTCGATGAGAATGGGGGCGTACTCGGTCCTCTTTTTTGCCCCTGTAGTCCACAATCATCTCCTTTGTCTTGGTCACGTTGAGGGAGAGGTTGTTATCCTGGCACCACACGGCCAGGTCTCTGACCTCCTCCCTATAGGCTGTCTCATCGTTGTCGGTGATCAGGCCTACCACTGTTGTGTCGTCAGCAAACTTAATGATGGTGTTGGAGTCGTGCCTGGCCATGCAGTCATGGGTGAACAGGGAGTACAGGAGGGGACTGAGCACGCACCCCTGAGGGGCTCCCGTGTTGAGGATCAGTGTGGCAGATGTGTTGTTACCTACCCTTACCACCTGGGGGCGGCCCGTCAGGAAGTCCAGGATCCAGTTGCAGAGGGAGGTGTTTAGTCCCAGGATCCTTAGCTAAGTGATTAGCTTTGAGGGCACTATGGTGTTGAATGCTGAGCTGTAGTCAATGAATAGCATTCTCACGTAGGTGTTCCTCTTGTCCAGGTGGGAAAGGGCAGTGTGGAGTGCAATAGAGATTGCATCATCTGTGGATCTGTTGGGGCGGTATGCAAATTGGAGTGGGTATAGGGTTGTTGATGTGAGCCATGACCAGCCTTTCAAAGCACTTCATGGCTACAGACGTCAGTGCTACGGGTCGGTAGTCATTTAGGCAGGTTATCTTAGAGTCCTTGGGCACGGGGACTATGGTGGTCTGCTTGAAACATGTTGGTATTACAGACTCAGTCAGGGACATGTTGAAAATGTCAGTGAAGACACTTGCCAGTTGGTCAGCACATGCTCGGAGTACACGTCCTGGTAATCCGTCTGGCCCTGCGGCCTTGTGAATGTTGACCTGCTTAAAAGTCTTACTCACATCGGCTACGGAGAGCGTGATCACATAGTCATCCGGAACAGCTGGTGCTCTCATGCATGCTTCAGTGTTGCTTGCCTCGAAGCAAGCATAAAAGGCATTTAGCTCATCTGGTAGGCTTGTGTCACTGGGCAGCTCGCGGCTGTGCTTCCCTTTGTAGTCTGTAATAGTTTTCAAGCCCTGTCACATCCGACGAGAGTCAGAACCTGTGTAGTAGGATTAAATCTTAGTCCTGTATTGATGCTTTGCCTGTTTGATGGTTAGCCTGAGGACATAGCAGGATTTCTTATAAGCGTCCGGATTATTGTCCCGCTCCTTGAAAGCGGCAGCTCTAGCCTTTAGCTCAGTGCGGATGTTGCCTGTAATCCATGGCTTCTGGTTGGGAAATGTACGTACGGTCAATGTTGGGACATAAGACACCACACGTGAACTCCCTACCAGTAGCTGAAGTCATTGGAAATTCCAATTCTAGCTAGCAGGAAGTGACACAAGTGGTGGTGAACAAGGGGAACATGGGAGATTCTCATAAAGCTGAATGACTGCATTTTTGGATCTGAGCCTGAACAGCTATGAAACTAAAGCTATTTGTTGGGCAACGGGAGGAACATTGAGTGTTTCCATGAACTTATCTTACTCATCAACAGGCAAGAATTTTGTAAGATTACCAGAAAGTATGACTCATTTTCACAGTATTGCTAGAATAAATAGGGGAATTAGGCCTGTGGTCTACAGTGTGATGAAGTAGGTCTACAGGTGGCCACCACAAGACACTGTATTGCTCTGCAGCAGTATGGACCTTAAGACTGCGGAAGCGCTGGAACTCACATCACAAATGTTCCATTCTCAAGCCGCACTGCCAAGCTGGCAAGAGGGAGAGAATTCTCCCTGCTAGCGTTTGAGATCTGACAGCGAGGGTCCATGCATTACTTAAGACTGTAATTTTTTTTATTGCTTGGAATTCATTTTACTTCAGAGTGATACAGAATCTCTTATGAATGGAACAAGTCCACTGGTCTTCCGGTATACCTCTCAGATATGCCTTTTTAAATTACAGTACAGAACTGACAATACAGTCTTAATTGTGACGTACCTATAGGATCTTTCTATAGGGCTTTTATGTGCTGTTCCATACATGCCTCTGTCAAATATGTTCAGTAGTTAAACTATAAACTTTTTCATCTGCCAAAATATCCAATCAACACAGTGCCATTGAGAGTTCATATTCACTGCACCACATTCATCCAGGACTTCAGATCGTGAACTTGTGACCCCACATATTTAGTTGTTTGTTTCCAGTCCTGGGTGAAGTAATAACTAATCAGCCGGTAATCCCCAGAATGTCCAAATCTGTATTTTGGGTTGGCCCAGAGGTCTCTCTCCCTCTCCCCCTGTCAGCGGGCTGGGGAGCGGGTGGGGTCATGGAGAGCAGAGAACGGAGCACTAGCTAGCCCGCTGTTTGTCTGTCTGACAGGCTGCCTGCCTCCAGCCAGCCCTGGACACACTGTCCCCGTGCCTCTCTCTGGGATAGGAACAGGGATGATAAAGAGATGGTGTGTTTGGTTAGCGACGCAGAGCGCTATGTGAAAGCTTACTTTTCAAGGTCTGGGGGTTACCATGGGGAGGTTGTTAGGCAGGCATATGATTTTAATTAGTCTCCTCCCCATCCTCCTGCTCTTTACCTTTCCCTGACCAAACTCTGCAGTGTGTCGACTTGGGTAAAAACAGTAAATCTCTCGTCCCCTCCTTCCCTCAGCCCTTATTACTATAATACATGTAGCTATAAGTCAGGCAGATTATTATTTTTTTCCCCAGGAGTCCTGTGGTTCTGTCTAAATGGGCCCCAGTCTGAAAGGCATAACAACCCCCCCCCCCCCCCCCCCCCCCCCCCCTCCCCGGCTAGTCGCACAGGCTCAGTAGCCAGTCACCCAGAACCAAGGGCCATGCTTGGTCACTATTGTAAAACAGGTCAGTGAAATCTGATGACGGTCTGCATTTCCGAGCAGACAGAACTGCTTCTCATAAATACTTGCTGCTTTCTCTCTCCAGTCTTTCTCTCTGAGCTGGAGTCAAGGATTGAAGAAAGTGAGTATATCAGTCTCTCACATACAGTTCCTACATGGGAAAAACTGAGTGCCTGGTAGTACTGTAGCAACATTCGTTTTTGATTGCGTTGGTTTAAAAAACAAGATAAGGTTACTAGGTGATTTATCTGATGATTTTAGATATGATTTAACAAAGCACACACTCTGTGGAAGGAGTGTCACCAGTTGGCACGGTCTCCATTTAACTATTTTATGTGCCATTTTAAAATCACCACTACAGACCGGCATATGTACGATAAATCAGTTTAATGGGACAGTCTGCTTACTATGATTTATTTAATGAAAGTAATGGTAGCTTCCATACCTAAAGAGCAACTTAAAAACACTTACAGGTCCTGAGTGTTACCAAACTGGCACTTTTAAAAAGCTATGCACCAGATGTGCTGCCTTTTTTTTATAAATCTGCCATCCACTCAAATCAAATATCTATTTGCTGCAGACACGAGGCCATAGAACTGCATATTATGGAAAAGTCTTCCAAATAGAGTAATCTCGGCATTCAACTGAGACATAAATGTGTGTGCCAGGGATTTGAAGCAGACTTTACTCTCTCTCTCTCTCGGCCTCCCTAGCTACATCAGTTAATGTCAAAATTGCCACTCTATACGGGCAACATCCAAATATGTTTGTTCATTTACCGTGCTTGAATACAGTAAATAATCACGGAAGTTATCTGCACTCACTCTCATGAGGGTTTGGTGTAGCCAAAGTGTTTGCCAAGCAGCCCTGTCACATTTCCTCTTGGTGAGCTCGCTCAGGGCTCTGTGGCTTCTATTGTAACTGTCTGAGGGAGGCGCTGGAATCCATCCACACGTCATGTTTACACATTAAAGAAGTCGTAAAAGGCCAAGTTTTCACTGTCATGCCATTGCAGGAACACTTGGTAATACAATGCACTCTTATTATTTTTCTCTCCCTCTCTTGTACTCTTGTTGCCCAGACCTGAAAATGAAAGTCTTGCGGGTACAATTACTGATGGTTATCATTGGAATAAGAGGAAGGGGAGGGGTTGGAGGACTGCAGAGGGGGAGGGATTGGAGGACTGGTGGCTCAGCTACAGCTACACTCTTCTCTGGTAGTCCTCTCCTTGTCACCCCCTCTAGGAGCTGCTTGTCTGGGCTGGAGAGAGGGGAGCGGGCTTGGATATATGGCCCAAGCCCAGGGTTGGCGACGCAGCTTGGGGTGGGGTATAGCGTCCAGGGCTCGGCAGAGTGGTGATTTTAGAGATGGCGTGGGTGGTCCGGACCAGCCAGGGAACAAGGACCAGGCCACATCTGCTGAGATGAGACTGGGGTCCTGCTGCCAGCCTGGAGAGTCTGAACCTCTGCTTCCTGGGGCCAACCAGCGACGTTACCCACCACTCAACACACACATGCGTTAATCAATGGTCTGGCTGGCTGTGTGGGATGACAACTATGTCTTGCACAACCATTTAAACAAGTCACTTGACATATTTACAGAGGATTTACAGAGGATTTTTGATTGTGTGCAGCCCACAATCGCCATTAAGTCACTATCTTTTGTTTGACAGACAGTCATACCACTAAAACCAGCTGTTAGAAAAGTGATAACATCAACAAAAGATTGCAATCCATCTTTATCTGTAGCTTGGAGAGATGAACACGCATGTAGCACTCACTACACTAGATTATCAGTGTAGTGTGTGGAAGTCTGTATCTGCAGAAGTAAACATTGAAATATTTGGTTACGTCGTTGTATAGTTTGTGCAGGTCCTTGCTAAAAAAAATGGACCTCTGTGCAAACAGTCACCTTCATGCCTTGGAGATGATGTAATTCATGTTTCCATAAATAATGTTAGGTAACAAACAAGCAGACTATGACAGATTATAGAATGAGCTAGAAGAAACAACCATACTTTTCTTAATGGCTCCTCTGTTCTCTATCTCCAGAATTTCCGACCCATCAGCTCCGGACCAATCACCGGTGGATACACCAGTGGCTACAGCAGCGGGTACAACAGCAGTGGTTACAGCCGAAAACCCTCCTACATTTCCGAGCCGCCGCACCTCAACAACGGCACCTCCAAGCAGTACAACAACCCAGCCGGCCTGTACGCGCACAACAATGGCAACAACGGAGACAGAGACAGGGTCTTACCAAAACAAATGGGCGGCCTGAGCCTGAGCTCCCCACACAGGTGAGGCATGGCGGCCATGCGGAGTGGAAAAGCCATTTTGTTATCGTGTGGCCTCTCAGATGTTTGATAAATGTATGTGTTCTCCCAGAGTAGAACCTCTGCAGTAGTTTCAAGATGTCCTGGTATATTCACCACGTCAATGTGAGGACCACATATGAAGTGTTGTATAATTTGTTAATCTTACAGTATCTTCTGGGATTTGTACTTTGTTAAACTGAATTTTATTTTTACCCTAAAAATAAATCTTGTCACAGCATTTACGAATTAAATCTATAAACAATGCAACATTTAGTGGAGACATTTCAGTCACAGAAGCTGTTAGTCACACTAAACTAAAAACAACTTAATTTATCTCTTTCAGCCCTGAGCCTCCGATGCATTCTCCTCTGGGCCGTAATGGGAACGCTCATAGTTTTGAAGTCACCACAGAGTCAGACGTGTACAAGATGCTGCAGGACCCGGAGGAGCCAGTCTCTGCACCCAAACAGTCCGGCTCCTTCAAATACCTACAGGGCATACTGGAGGCAGAGGATGGAGGTACCCTCATTTGTGGCTCTATATGACTGTCTGTTTATTTAGCTGTTTGTATATGCCATTCACTCTACAGTTGTATTTAATTATTTATTTATTTATTTATTTATATATAAAATACACACACACACACACACACACACACACACACACACACACACACACACACTCTCTCTCTCTACCGGTCAAAAGTTTTAGAACACCTACTCATTCAAGGATTTTTCTTATTTAAAAAAAACTATTTTCTACATTGTAGAATGATAGTGAAGACATCAAAACTATGAAATAACACATATGGAATCATGTAGTAACCAAACAAGTGTTAAAGAAATTAAAATATATTTTATATTTGAGATTCTTCAAATAGCCACCATTTGCCTTGATGACAGCTTTGCACACTCTTGGCATTCTCTCAACCAGCTTCACCTGGAATGCTTTTCCAACAGTCTTTAAGGAGTTCCCACATATGCTGAGCACTTGTTGGCTGCTTTTCCTTCACTCTGCGGTCCGACTCATCCCAAACCATCTCAATTTGGTTGAGGTCGGGGGATTGTGGAGGCCAGGTCATCTGATGCAGCACTCATCACTTTCCTTCTTGGTAAAATAGCCCTTACACAGCCTGGAGGTATGTTGGGTCATTGTCCTGTTGAAAAACAAATGATAGTCCCACTAAGCCCAAACCAGATGGGATGGCGTATCGCTGCAGAATGCTGTGGTAGCCATGCTGGTTAAGTGTGCCTTGACTTCTAAATAAATCACAGACTGTGTCACCAGCAAAGCACCCCCACACCATAACACCACCTCCATGCTTCACGGTGGGAAATACACATGCGGAGATCATCCGTTCACCCACACTGCGTCTCACAAAGACACAGCGGTTGGAACCAAAAATCTCAAATTTGGACTCCAGACCAAAGGACACATTTCCACCTGTCTAATGTCCATTGCTCGTGTTTCTTGGCCCAAGCAAGTCTCTTCTTCTTATCGGTGTCCTTTAGTAGTGGTTTCTTTGCAGCAATTTGACCATGAAGGCCTGATTCACACAGTCCCCTCTGAACAGTTGATGTTGAGATGTGTCTGTCACTTGAACTCTATGAAGCAATTATTTGGGCTGCAATTTCTGAGGCTGGTAACTCTAATGAACTTATCCTCTGCAGCAGAGGTAAGTCTGGGTCTTCCATTCCTGTGGCGGTCCTCATGAGAGCCAGTTTTATCATACCGCTTGATGGTTTTTGCGACTGCACTTGAAGAAACGTTCAAAGTTCTTGAAATTTTCCGTATTGACCTTCCGTAATATCCAAGATTGCGTAGCAGTGCGGTCGTGTACTCTGCGTGTCAGTAAATAGCCTGTTTTCTTTTCTTTTTTTTATGTTTACATATACATGTACATATTTCCCTATCACACTTTTCATCCTTCTACTAAATATACACTGCTCAAAAAATAAAGGGAACACTTAAACAACACAATGTAACTCCAAGTCAATCACACTTCTGTGAAATCACTGTCCACTTAGGAAGCAACACTGATTTGACAATAAATGTCACATGCTGTTGTGCAAATGGAATAGACAACAGGTGGAAATTATAGGCAATTAGCAAGACACCCCCAATAAAGGACTGGTTTTGCAGGTGGTGACCACAGACCACTTCTCAGTTCCTATGCTTCCTGGCTGATGTTTTGGTCACTTTTGAATGTTGGCGGTGCTTTCACTCTAGTGGTAGCATGAGACTGAGTCTACAACCCACACAAGTGGCTCAGGTAGTGCAGCTCATCCAGGATGGCACATCAATGCGAGCTGTGGCAAGAAGGTTTGCTGTGTCTGTCAGCGTAGTGTCCAGAGCATGGAGGCGCTACCAGGAGACAGGCCAGTACATCAGGAGACGTGGAGGAGGCCGTAGGAGGGCAACAACCCAGCAGCAGGACTGCTTCTCCGCCTTTGTGCAAGGAGGAGCAGGAGGAGCACTGCCAGAGCCCTGCAAAATGACCTCCAGCAGGCCACAAATGTGCATGTGTCTGCTCAAACGGTCAGAAACAGACTCCATGAGGGCCCGACGTCCACAGGTGGGGGTTGTGCTTACAGCCCAACACCGTGCAGGACGTTTGGCATTTGCCAGAGAACACCAAGATTGGCAAATTCGCCACTGGCGCCCTGTGCTCTTCACAGATGAAAGCAGGTTCACACTGAGCACATGTGACAGAGTCTGGAGACGCCGTGGAGAACGTTCTGCTGCCTGCAACATCCTCCAGCATGACCGGTTTGGCGGTGGGTCAGTCATGGTGTGGGGTGGCATTTCTTTGGGGGGCCGCACAGCCCTCCATGTGCTCGCCAGAGGTAGCCTGACTGCCATTAGGTACCGGGATGAGATCCTCAGACCCCTTGTGAGACCATATGCTGGTACGGTTGGCCCTGGGTTCCTCCTAATGCAAGACAATGCTAGACCTCATGTGGCTGGAGTGTGTCAGCAGTTCCTGCAAGAGGAAGGCATTGATGCTATGGACTGGCCCGCCCGTTCCCCAGACCTGAATCCAATTGAGCACATCTGGGACATCATGTCTCGCTCCATCCATGCTTTAGTCCAGGTCTGGGAGGAGATCCCTCAGGAGACCATCCGCCATCTCATCAGGAGCATGCCCAGGCGTTGTAGGGAGGTCATACAGGCACGTGGCGGCCACACACACTACTGAGCCTCATTTTGACTTGTTTTAAGGACATTACATCAAAGTTGGATCAGCTTGTAGTGTGGTTTTACACTTTAATTTTGAGGGTGACTCCAAATCCAGACCTCCATGGGTTGATAAATTTGATTTCCATTGATAATTTTTGTGATTTTGTTGTCAGCACATTCAACTCTGTAAAGAAATAAGTCTTTAATAAGATTATTTCATTCATTCAGATCTAGGATGTGTTATTTTAGTGTTCCCTTTATTTTTTTGAGCAGTGTACTTTCCTGCAACCCGCCTCACTCGATGTGGAACGGATTCTATTATTGACTTACCTTTTATCTAGAATCTCCAGTTGAAACTAGCTAGCCAGCTAACTAGCTACTTGCTATTAGCCACCGTTAGCGGTTTTCACCCAGAACATCGGATTTTCTGCCGGAATAACTGAATCACTGGACCTTTTAACTCCGGATCATTGCAACTAGCTAGCTGCAAACGAATGGATGTTGCTGTTGGCTAATCACCACTGCCCCCAACGCAAGCACCAGTTAGCCTTGAGCTAGCCTCGAGCCAGGCCCATATCCCGGCTATCTACCCCTCTGTCTACCGGACGGGAGTAGCCAGCTAACTAGCTACTTGCTATTAGCCACCGTTAGCGGTTTTTCACCATTGTCTGTGGCCTGCACTACCTACCAGCCAGCTCTAGCCTGGACTATTATCGGCCAGTCTGCACTGTCTGCACAGCGCGTTATCGACCCAGAACATATCAGTTTTTCTGCCGGAATCACTGAATCACTGGACCTTTTAACTCCGGATCATCGCAACTAGCTAGCTGCAACCAAATTGATGTTGTTGGCTAATCAGTCTTGAGCTAGCCTCGAGTCAGGCCCATCTCCCGGCTATCTACCTCTGTCAACCGGACGGGACCTCCTAGAGTTGACACGGAGCCCCGCCGATCCATCACGACTGGTCTGCCGATGTAATCGTCTGTGGTTTCAACAGGCTTCCCATTGCTACGACCACGAAGATCCATCTGCTAGCCCCGGCCCGCTAGCACACGCAAAGAACAGCCGTGCTTCCTGCTAGCCTGTGCTGTAGCACCAATTCGAACTGCTCTCGGACTCACATTTTGCTGTTCACTGGACCTTATGATCACTCAGCTGCACAGCTGATGCCTGCTGGACTATTCCTTTACACGGTACCCTGTCCTGTTTATCTGTTTAGCCTCAGCCCAAACTTTCATTGCCATTACCAGTTGTTGCCTTAACTTTCTCGAATAACACCTGTGATTGCTTTATGCCTCTCTCCCATGTCAATATGCCTTGCCTATTGCTGTTCCAGTTATTTCTTATTATACAATTTCACTGTAAAGCCCCAAGTCCCTCTCAAACTGCCTCAAATAGCTCCTTTGTTCCACCCCCCATACACGCGGAGACCGGCTCAATCGGTGCCTCCAGTGATGCTATCTCTTTCATTGTTACCCAACGCTTAGGTTTACCTCCACTGTACTCATATCCTTCCATATCCTTGTCTGTACATAATGCTCTGAATCTATTCTACAACGCCCGGAAATCTGCCCCCTTTACTCTCTGTACCCAACGCACTAGAAGACCAGTTCTTAAAGCCTTTAGCCGTATCCTTATTCTAGTCCTCCTCTGTTCCTCTGGTGATGTAGAGGTTAACCCAGGCCCTGCAGCCCCCACTATCACTCCTACTCCCCAGGAGCTTTCATTTGTTGACTTCTGTAACCATAAAAGCATTGGTTTTTTGCATGTTAACATCAGAAGCCTCCTCCCTAAGTTTGAGTTATTCACTGCGTTAGCACACTCCGCCAACCCTGATGTTCTAGCAGTGTCTGAATCCTTGCTTAGGAAGGCCACCAAAAATTCTGAAATGTCCATCCCAAACTACAACATTTTCCGTCTAGATAGAACTGCCAAAGGGGGTGGAGTTGCAATCTACTGTAGAGAGCCTGCAGAGCTCTATCATACTATCCAGGTCTGTGCCCAAACAGTTTGAGCTCCTACTTCTAAAAATCCACCTTTCCAGAAATAAGTCTCTCACTGTTGCCGCTTGCTACAGACCCCCCTCAGCCCCCAGCTGTGCCCTGGAAACCATATGTGAATTGATTGCCCCCCATATATCCTCAGAGTTCGTACTGCTTGGTGACCTAAACGGGGATATGCTTAACACCCCGGCCACCCTACAATCCAAACTAGATGCCCTCAATCTCACACAAATTATCAAGGAACCTACCAGGTACAACCCTAAATCCGTAAACATGGGCACCCTTATAGATATCATCCTGACTAACTTACCCTCTAAATACACCTCCACTGTCTTCAACCAGGATCTCAGTGATCACTGCCTTATTGCCTGTGTCCGTAACGGGTCCGCGGTCAAATGACCACCCCTCATCACTGTCAAACGCTCCCTAAAACACTTCAGCGAGCAGGCCTTCCTAACTGACCTGGCACAGGATCGGGTCACCGCCTTGATGTTAGCGGAGAACGACAGGGTGTTGTCCAGGGTCATGCCAAGGCTCTTCGCACTCTGGGAGGAGGACACAACGGAGTTGTCAACCGTGATGGCGAGATCATGGAACGGGCAGTCCTTCCCCGGGAGGAAGAGCAGCTCCGTCTTGCCAAGGTTCAGCTTGAGGTGGTGATCCGTCATCCATACTGATATGTCTGCCAGAGATGCGATTCGCCACCTGGTTATCAGAAGGGGGAAACACAAACACTGCTTTGCTTTATCTTGGCCAGGTCGCAGTTGTAAATGAGAACTTGTTCTCAACTGGCTTACCTGGTTAAATAAAAAATGTCTTAAAGTAATTATGGACTGTCATTTCTCTTTGCTTAATTGAGCTGTTCTTGCCTTAATAGGGCTATCTTCTGTGTATCCCCCCCCCACCCACCACCACCTTGTCACGACACAACTGATTGGCTCAAACGCATTAAGAAGGAAAGAAATTCCACTAATTAACTTTTAACAAGGCACACCTGTTAATTGAAACGCATTCCAGGTGACTACCTCATGAAGCTGGTTGAGAGAATGCCAAGAGTGTGCAAAGCTGTCATCAAGGCAAAGAGTGGCTATTTGAAGAATCTCAAATATAAATTATTTTGATTTGTTGAACACTTTTTTTTGGTTACTACATGATTCCATATGTGTTATTTCATAGTTTTTATGTCTTCACTATTATTCTACAATGTAGAAAATAGTAAAAATAAAAACCCTTGAATGAGTAGGTGTGTTCATACTTTTGACTGGTACTGTATGTACTCATGTATGTTTATGTACGCTAGATATGTTTGTATATTTGAGCTAAATAGTTTCCTCGAAGTGGAGCGTGTGATTAATTCCAGACACAGGAGTGTGTGTGTGGCAAAACAACCTGAGAAATTACTTCCTGGTGTGTATTTTGAACTGTTTTCACATTCCAAAAAGTAGGCCTAGGCTCTCTGAAGTCCTTAGGAGTCATGTGATATTTTAGGATCAGCCTCTTACCTCATGGCCAGGCCCTAGCTCCTCACGGAGAACCCAAACAGACTAGATAATCCATAGGAACCAGACATGCTGTCTGTCAGAGCGCCCTGAGAAGATTTTGGATTAACTCCAGGCCATGTTTTTCTTTGAATTTGGCGCTAATCACTTGCAGGTGTTACAGGGGATTAAGGAAGAGAGAACTCAATAATGGTTTCAACATAATTAGATTAAATGGCACCAGGACGATTCACCTGCTGCACAGTTATTTTTTTCACGACCACAAAAGGCGTCATTGACACTGGGTTAAGCTGCTGGTAAGCTGCTGACACACCTTGGGGTTTACTCTAGACTCTTCCCTGAATCTCTGTCTGTGCTTGTTGCTCTCGTCTGGAAATCATTGCTTTATGTTCTGCTGAAGGAGTTTCTACGATTTTTTTCCAGCTCAGAGTTGACGTTTAGACAGAGAGGAGCATTTTGACTGTGTGTGATATTTTCATCCTTTAATAAAAATAATACGTTCCTGTTTTGAAAATGTTGGCATCCCTGGGATTTCCAGGGAGAGCAAACGAGTTGGTATGTTTGAGCCCCACAGTCTCTGTCACCATCTGTGGTGTCAGACCGGGTGGAGAGGAGACGATGGCGTGACAGATTGGTATAGCCAGGGAGTTCACTCTAATAATAAACACAATCACTGAGGAATCCGGCACTTATAGTGACATACTGTATAATAGTCAGACAGACATAGGAGGGAAGCCATCATATATTTACTTTACTTTACTTTTGAGGATGCAGATGTGACACACGTTGTACCGCCTGTAGTTCAAAAATAAACAAGTCAACTCTGAAGTCTCCGCCAACCCCCTGTGTAGGAGTGTAACCTTTTTGAAGTTGTTAAAAATAAGAAATATAGACCGGGTTACATCATGTTGATTTTGTTTCTGTTTATCCAGAAATGTGACTCCCATTAGCCACTGCAGGTAGCCACTATCTGGTTTATTAAAAGCTGCTCTAATAACTAAGATGAATAGTTGGAAAGTCACTTTCTTTAGTGGACAGGGCACCGGATCTACAACTTGGGGGGATCACAGGCTATGAACTCTATTCATTAAGACTTCTTAGTAGACATCATTCCTACAGATATAGGATCCTAATATGACCTATATTGTCATAGCAAAATAATCCTGCAGCAACATAATGTTGCTTGATCGGTGGTTAGGCTATTAGCTGGCCAAAAGTAGGCTATGTAAAGTGCAATGCTGTTACTATAACTGTGTGTTAGTGTGGGTTTTCAGTGAATTTATGTAAATCACAACGCTCATCTTCATTTCCTGCGGTGCAGGAACATTCTCAGTAACAAAATAGTGATCAAATGAAGATCCTACATCTGTATGTTACTTCCCCTCTCCTATGAAGCTTATGGATGTGAGTTTCACAGGGGGCAGCTCTCCATGTCTGCTTGATAAGACGGTTGTCTGAGACATGAAGCGTATCTGTCAAATGACGCTAGCACTGCTTAGTGGCTCTGTACACTGTACAAGTCTTATGATTAAACCTCCCTCCCACTTGTGAGCATCCCATGACGAGTGCAATGATGACTAAAGGCGTAATAGACCAATTATTATGGCAAAAACAGACCCTGTTGTTAGTCAAACCTCTTAAAGTCACAGAGCATTAGTGAAGTGATGGAAACTTCTTTGTCAAGTACCAGGTACTTCACCAGTATGGTGGGTAGGCCATGCCAGAGCCAGGGGCAGTGGCATGCTGGGTTAATGGGGCCTGTTGGCACCTCATCACTCCGTGGTTCAGAGAGAGTGTGATTGTAGCACTCTGGTGTGATGGTCTGCTCCTTAATATGGAATGTTTGCTCTGCCAGGCAGCTGCCGCTTTCATCTCCTAATTGATGTGTTCCTGCTGTGTGTCAGGTCCTGGCATCGGCCCTGGCATCCCTGATATGTGAACGGAGGGTGAGCGATGAGGGGGTGGGGGGTGTGTGAGAAGTAGAGATGGGTGGAGAGAGGGGTATAGAGGGGGAGAGTGAATGAAGAGATGGGGAAGAAAGAGGTAGAGGCTGGCGGTGTGAGTGCCACTCTGGCCTTCTGTCTGTATCCCTTCCATACCCTCCGAGGGTAACACAAAGGGAGGGAAGTGGTAGCTGAGGAGTGATGTCTCTGTGGTGGACGGGAGCTGACCTTGGTGCCTCCCTGAGCCAAGTGTGAACACCCTTAATTCTTCATTTTACATTTACATTTTAGTCATTTAGCAGACGCTCTTATCCAGAGCGACTTACAGTTAGTGAATTTTTTTTTTTTTTTTTATATACTGGCCCCCCGTGGGAATCAAACCCACAACCCTGGCGTTGCAAACGCCATGTTCTATCAACTGAGCTACATCCCTGCCGGCCATTCCCTCCCCTACCCCGGACGACGCTGGGCCAATTGTGCGCCGCCCATGAGTCTCCCGGTCGCGGCCGGCTGCGACAGAGCCTGGATTCGAACCAGGATCTCTAGTGGCACAGTTAGCACTGCGATGCAGTGCCTTAGACCACTGCGCCACTCAGGAGCCATCCTTTAACTCATGGCTGACCACTGCCTTCTGAGCTGTCATATACTGGTGTAGGGTGAAGTTGCCCCTGGACTCTGATCTTGGGTAAATGTCATCTTCCCCAACTAATAGTCTAGGATTGGGGGAGGGGAAGCTGATCCTAGATCTGTACCTAGGCGAAACTTCACCCCGTAGCCTCATACAGTACCTGGAACATTACCTTAATTACCTTCACCCCGTAGCCTCATACAGTACCTGGAACATTACCTTAATTACCTTCACCCCGTAGCCTCATACAGTACCTGGAACATTACCTTAATTACCTTCACCCCGTAGCCTCATACAGTACCTGGAACATTACCTTAATTACCTTCACCCCGTAGCCTCATACAGTACCTGGAACATTACCTTAATTACCTTCACCCCGTAGCCTCATACAGTACCTGGAACATTACCTTAATTAACTTCACCCCGTAGCCTCATACAGTACCTGGAACATTACCTTAATTACCTTCACCCCGTAGCCTCATACAGTACCTGGAACATTACCTTAATTACCTTCACCCCGTAGCCTCATACAGTACCTGGAACATTACCTTAATTACCTTCACCCCGTAGCCTCATACAGTACCTGGAACATTACCTTAATTACCTTCACCCCGTAGCCTCATACAGTACCTGGAACATTACCTTAATTACCTTCACCCCGTAGCCTCATACAGTACCTGGAACATTACCTTAATTACCTTCACCCCGTAGCCTCATACATTACCTGGAACATTACCTTAATTAACTTCACCCCGTAGCCTCATACAGTACCTGGAACATTACCTTAATTACCTTCACCCCTTAGCCTCATACATTACTTGGAACATTACCTTAATTACCTTCACCCCTTAGCCTCATACATTACTTGGAACATTACCTTAATTACCTTCACCCCTTAGCCTCATACATTACTTGGAACATTACCTTAATTACCTTCACCCCTTAGCCTCATACAGTACCTGGAACTCTGCTGGTCTTAACTGAGGTGTTTTCTTTGTCCACAGGTGTGTCCCCCACTGACAGGTCTGGAGTGAGAGGCCTAAGGTCCCCAGTTCAATCCCCAGTCCCTAAATTGGGCAGCCCCATTCCCGGCCCCATGGGCCCGATGCCTGGCCTACAGAAACTTCCCCAGTGCACGCGCTGTGGCAACGGCATAGTGTGAGTCATTCAAATCAAATTTTATTTGTCACATACACGTGTTTAGCAGATGTTATAGCGGGTCTAGCGAAATGCTTGTGCTTCTAGCTCCGACAGTGCAGTAATATCTAACCATTTTCCAACATATACACACAAAACTAGTAAGGAATGGAATTTAAGAAAAATATACATGTATGGACAAGCAATGACAGAGCGGCATGGACTAAGATACAGTAGAATAGTATAGAATGCAGTAAATACATATGAGATGAGTAATGCAAGATAGAACCAAGAGGATAACAACGATGCTGCAGACTAGGTGTGCATCCCAAATAGCACCCTTTTCCCTCTAGTGTGCTACTTTTGACCAGAGACTACATAGGGGATAGGGTGCTATTTGGGATGCAGTTTAGTCCCGCTCCAACAGGTCTAAGCTAATAAGAGGGAAAACGATGTCCCATATATCACTTTAAATAATTCAACCTCTGCGCCACGCCCTATCCTCCTCAGGAACCCAGACGTGCTGGTAATCCCCACACTGCTCTAGCACCATGGATAAACAGTGATGCAATTTGAACATGACTGTTGTGGAGGCTTAGCTCAATGGATCTGTTGTGTAGAGTGTTTACACGGGGTTTTAGGCAGGGCACTAAAGAATGTACCTACTGTTAAAGCAGTAGTGGGTAGGATAAAGGGCTGGATACAGGGGACATTCAAATTCAAAGAGTTATGGCTGTTTTTGAAGCTATTTAATACTTATTGGTTATGCAAATACTCACATCCATGAATGGCATACTTGTAACTTAAATACACAGTGACATACTTAAATATGCAAATTAATGATATTCAAATAGCTCTTAATTGCTTCTCAATAATTAAAGAAATTATCTTTAACATTTCACTAACGTAGGCACTTTGTGACAACTGCTGATGTAAAAAGGGCTATATGAAATGCATTTGATTGACTAATAACATGGTCTGTATAGGGGCACCATCGTGAAGGCCAGAGACAAACTGTACCACACAGAGTGCTTCATGTGTGACGACTGCGGCCTGAACCTCAAGCAGAAGGGCTACTTCTTCATTGAGGAGAACCTGTACTGTGAGACCCACGCCATGGCCCGTGTCCAGCCTCCTGAGGGATATGACGTGGTTGCAGTCTACCCCAACTCCAAGGTTGAACTGGTCTGAGCTGGACAGACTTTAAACACAACCCTTCTGTCTTAACCACAGCTCCCAGCAGGTAGCAAGGTCTTCTATTTCCAATCCAATACACTACATGTCTAAGCTGTCGCCGGAAAAGATGTCAGTTGAGAGTGGGATACTGGAGAGTGGTGTGCAGAGGTTTCTAGTCTCTCTTTAGCTCTTTCCCACATACTGTACAGCATACTATTACTATTTCTGACGGACTTTACATTTTTACCCCTGCTGAGTAAAAAAACAATGTGAGGGCTTTTCTTTGTGTCAATAGCACCTTTAGATCTTGTTGAAACATAAGCAATATGCAACCGAATGACATCTCACATCTGGGGGTGGTTTTCTATTTTTAACCCTGCTGACTAAAATGCAGTTAGTGGAATGGAATTAGGGTCAAGCACCTGACTGTGACTGGAATTTAACTTTCAATGCTTCTCACGGTTTCTACAGTTAAAGAACCCCAGCTTCATTACATCTGGTGAAGTACATTCCAGTGCCACACGAGAAAGCCGTTTGTCTCTCCCACTGTAGCAGCTTTTAAAAAGCTGTGGGGAGCAGAGACGCAAGGACATGGAAAACAATGAAATCCAGCCCGTGAATCTAGGAACATGCGGGAATAATCAATCTATTTAGGTTCTGTGGCACATTTTGTAGAAACAGACAGACAGTGCTTGTTGGCTGAGGGATGGTATTTGAAAGAGTATATTGTTTTCTTCTTGTTTGACATGTATAGTCATAGCCAAGTCCACTGAATTAATCAGACTTCTACATTTCCAGGGAGGGATGGCATTTATGTGCTTTAGGAAATGACAAAAATATTCACGCTGGGAACAAAGTCTCTTCCCCTGAAATTGTAGGATGAACAATAGTTGGATGAAAAGTGCTATTTGTAAAATATTTGATTCTTAAAAAAAAAAAAAAAAGTTTTTTTTTTTTTTTTTCTCCATCTCATAGTGCTTGTTATTCGATATCCACCATAACCCTAACGTTTAGCTACTGGAATGCCAACTAGGACAGTAGTTTGTAAATTATTTGTGTGTTTTTAGTTGTAATTGTACATATTTGTTTCATGTCTGTTTAACAAACATAACTAGTCACTCTGCCTTCACACGTCTGTCGTTTTAAGTGCTTACTGTGTGTAGTCACAGAATCCTCTCGTGTTTAACTTATTGTTTTGCAGACACATTTCACTCTGGTTTCTTCGATTTGTTTTTTAAGATATAATAAAGTGAAAAATAAGTAATCATACTCATGATTCAGCATTTATTTATTTTTTACAGGCATAATTAATTTATTGTGGAATGTTTTGAGAATAGTAGTTTAACTTGCCTGTGGACACCGGCGTAAAAATAGCAAGGGGTTCCAATATGTGGAGTTTTATATCCTGTCCATGACAAGACACGTTACCAACAGCATGTCCTCAGACCGCCAGCACGACACGTTACCAACAGCATGTCCTCAGACCGCCAGCACGACACGTTACCAACAGCATGTCCTCAGACCGCAAGCACGACACGTTACCAACAGCATGTCCTCAGACCGCAAGCACGACACGTTACCAACAGCATGTCCTCAGACCGCCAGCACGACACGTTACCAACAGCATGTCCTCAGACCGCCAGCACGACACGTTACCAACAGCATGTCCTCAGACCGCCAGCACGACACGTTACCAACAGCATGTCCTCAGACCTCCAGCTTGGAGTCAAGGCTTGGGTCTCAAATGGCACACTATTGCCTACGTAGTGCACTGCTTTGGTGCCATTTGGACGCACAGAAGTTGACTGATCCAAACCCAGAGACATCTACTTCCTAGAGACCTTATTTGTTTGAAATTCCGGTGCCACAAAATGGGTTTCATGTTTTCACAGCATTGCCTCTTACGACATGTTAATGGGCTGTGAGAACATGTTTTAATTTGTCACAAGCAGACTTTAGTGATAGATTTTTAAAACACAACTGCCTTTTTGAATTATGTTCTAACGGTGGGATCAAAAACCTACACACTTTTATAGTAATCATTTATTGTATGGTGAATATTTTGATTTTTCTTCACATTTTCCTCCCACAATGTTTGAGGACATTTTGGGTAACATGAGAAGCTTGTGGGTTGTTTAAGAACGAATGTCAAGTTTTACCGTACAGTGTGATGTATGGCTGAGATTCAGTGGTTTACTATAATCCGTAACAGAAGATGGGGGAGCCCTTCATACCCCATTAAATATGTCAACCACAATGGGTGCGGGGGGGGGGGGGGGGGGGAGAAGAGATGCACAGGGAGGCAGAGAAGGGAAATTGGTCTGTTTTTAATTAAGAAGTCCGTTAATAGAACAGTGATGTGGTTTAACAACATGGCCAACAGTTAGTGACTTGATTCCAAGGCTTTGAACACTCCTCTTAATAGGCACAGTGTAATGTTTTCCATATTGGTGGCATATTGTTAGGCTGTTAGTCACACGTCAATCCCCAAACAGCAGCAGCAAGGAACATGGCGTCTAGGAAGCTAGTCTCTCATACTTTCATCATGCATGGAGAACACGATAAAGACTTCAGACTTTGTATAAGAGGGAGCTTTCACAGCAGCTGAAATAGCTCACCATTAGGTTAGAATGCATTATTATTTTCATTCATATATTTGCATGTACAGTGCCCTACTGAATTATTGGCACCCCAGGTAAATATGAAGAAAATGCTGTGAAAAATGTCATTTTATCAGCATGATCTTACACTAAATATCATACTGTATGAATCTAACCTTTTTTAATTGAGTTAAAATTGTTCAAAGAAAATAAAATTGTCAATAAATTATTTTATTCAAAAACATGCATGTCACAATTATTGGCACTCCTGCATTTAGTACTTTGTGCACCCTCCCTTTGCCAAGATAACAGCTCTGTCGTTTCCTATAATGTTTGATGTGGGAGAGCACACCCTCCCTTTGCCAAGATAACAGCTCTGAGTCTTCTCCTATAATGTTTGATGAAGTAGGAGAACACACCCTCCCTTTGCCAAGATAACAGCTCTGAGTCTTCTCCTTTAATGTTTGATGAAGTAGGAGAACACACCCTCCCTTTGCCAAGATAACAGCTCTGAGTCTTCTCCTATAATGTTTGATGAGGTGGGAGAACACATAGGAAGGAAGGACCATTCCTCCATACAAAAACTCTCCAGATCCTTCAGAGTCCTTGGTCCTCGCTTGTGGACTCAATTCTTCAGCTCACCCCACAGGTTTTTAATGGGGTTTAGGTCAGGGGACTGGGACGGCCATTGCAAAAGCTTGATTCTATGGTCAGTGAACCATTTATGTGGATTTGGAGGTATGCTATGGATTGTTGTCTGCTGGAAGATCTAACGACGACCCAGTTTTAGCCTCCTATCAGAGGCAGACAGGTTTTGGCCTAAAATCTCCTGGTACTTGATGGAGTCCATGATGCCATATCCTGACAAGGTTCCCAGGGCCTTTGGAAGTAAAACAGACCCACATCACAGATCCACCACCATACTTCACAGTGGGGATTAGGTTATTTTCTGCATGACCATGGCGGTTTTTACGCCAAACCCGTCTCTGGTGTTCGTTGCCAAAAAGCTATATTTTAGTCATCAGACCATAGAACCTGGTTCCAATCAAAGTTCCAAAACTCAAGGCGATTTAAGCTTGTGGTTTGGTGACAGCAGAGGCTTTCTTCTGGCAACCCTTCCAAATAACTTGTTGGCATGGAGGTGGTGTCTAATTGTAGTTTTGGAGACTTGGTGACCCAAGATGTAACCAACTTCTGCAATTCTCCAACTGTGATCCTTGGAAATTTTGTTTTACCACTTGAACTATTCCATGCGAGAAATTGCCAAGAAACTGAAGATCTCGTACAATGCTGCGTACTACTGCCTTCACAGAACAGCGCAAACTGGCTCTAACCAGAATAGAAAGAGTGGGAGGCCCCGGTGCACAACTGAGCAAGAGGACAAATCCATTAGTGTCTAGTTTGAGAAACAGGCACCTCACAGGTCCTCAACTGGCAGCTTCATTAAATAGTACCCGCAAAACACCAGTCTCAATGTCAACAGTGAAGAGGCGACTCCGGGATGCTGACCTTCTAGGCAGAGTTGCAAAGAAAAAGCCATATCTCAGACTGGCCAATAAAAATAAAAGATTAAGATGGGCAAAAGAACACAGACACTGGAAAGATTGGAAAAAAGTGTTATGGACAGACTAATCAAAGTTTGAGGTGTTCGGATCACAAAGAAGAACATTTGCGAGACGCAGACCAAATGAAAAGATGCTGGAGGAGTGCTTGATGCCATCTGTCAAGCATGGTGGAGGCAATGTGATGGTCTGGGGGTGCTTTGGTGGTGGTAAAGTGTACAGGGTAAAAGGGATCTTGAAGAAGGAAGGCTATCACTCCATTTTGCAACGCCATGCCATACCCTGTGGACGGCGCTTGATTGGAGCCAATTTCCTCCTACAACAGGACAATGACCCAAAGCACAGCTCCAAACTATGCAATAACTATTTTTAGGGAAGAAGCAGTCAGCTGGTATTCTGTCTATAATGGAGTGGCCAGCACAGTCACCGGATCTCAACCATATTGAGCTGTTGTGGGAGCAGCTTGACCGTATGGTACGTAAGAAGTGCCCATCAAGCCAATAAAACTTGTGGGAGGTGCTTCAGGAAGCATGGGGTGAAATCTCTTCAGATTACTTCAACAAATTGGCAACTAGAATGCCAAAGGTCTGCAAGGCTGTAATTGCTGCAAATGGAGGATTCTTTGACGGAAGCAAAGTTTGAAGGACACAATTATATTATTTCAATTAAAAATCATTATTTCTAACCTTGTCAATTACTAAATTTCCTATGCATTTTGCTATATTTCCTATTCAAACTAATTTCATGTATGTTTTCATGGAAAACAAGGACATTTCTAAGTGACCCCAAACTTTTGAACGGTAGTGTATATTTTATATTTGAGATTCTTCAAATAGCCACCCTTTGCTTTGATGACAGCTTTGCACACTCTTGGCATTCTCTCAACCAGCTTCATGAGGTAGTCACCTGGAATGCATTTCAGTTAACAGGTGTTCCTTCTTAAAAGTTAATTTGTGGAATTTCTTTCCTTCTTAATGCGTTTGAGCCAATCAGTTGTGTTGTGACAAGGTATACAGAAGATAGCCCTATTTGGTAAAAGACCAAGTCCATATTATGGCAAGAACAGCTCAAATAAGCAAAGAGAAATTACAGTCCATCATTACTTTAAGACATGAAGGTCAGTCAATCCGGAACATTTCAAGAACTTTGAAAGTTTCTTCAAGTGCAGTCACAAAAACCATCAAGCGCTATGATGAAACTGGCTCTCATGAGGACCGCCACAGGAATGGAAGACCCAGAGTTACTTCTACTGCAGAGGATAAGTTCATTAGAGTTACCATCCTCAGAAATTGCAGCCCAAATAAATGCTTCACAGAGTTCAAGTCACAGACACATCTCAACATCAACTGTTCAGAGGGGATCTGTGTGAATCAGGCCTTCATGGTCGAATTGCTGAAAAGTGACCACTACTAAAGGACACCAATAATAAGAAGAGACCTACTTGGGCCAA